CATGTGGGTGCATGGGTCCAAGTCCTTGGGCCATCTTCTGCTGCTTTCTCGGGTGCATTAGCAGGAACCTGGATTGGAAGTGCAGCAGCTGGCACTGCCTATACCACTATGCCACAACACCAACCCAAGCCTCTCTACTCTTTAAATCTATTTAGATTTCAGTGATTATTGTGTTTGTTTCTTTGCTTTGGCTTAATAATTTTTCCCAATTTTTAAAAACATTGATTGATTGACTGAAAGAGTTGCAGAGAAAGTGAGATCTTCTACCTGCTAGTTCTTTCTCCAGATGACTGTAATGGCCAGGGCTGGGACATGCTGAAGTCAGGAGCCAGGAGCTTCATCTGGGTCTTGCACATAAGTGGCGGGAACCCAAGCCTGTACCATCTTCTGCTGCTCTGCCCAGGCCATTAGTCTGCAGTCAGATGGGAAGAGCAGCAACCGGGACATAAACCTGTGCCCATGTGGAATGCTGACGCTGCAGGCAGCGATCTACCAACTGTGCCACAACACCGGCCCCACATTTCTCAATGTGTTTATGTGAAGAAAGTATCAGGAGTTTGGCTACAACAGCAAAACAACCAAGATCTCAGTGTCTTAAAACAACTACAGTGTCCTTCTTACCCACATCCCAGCTCCTTGGTGGGTGGGCAGAAGTTTCTAAGTGCCACCCTCATTCAGGGAGCCAGGTGACAGAACTGCACCCTTCCATGCCCTGCAGGTTCCTAGGCCCCAAGCTGGGTAAGGACGGCAGGTTTCTCATCGCTCCTTAAAGCTTCTGCTCAAAATGGCACTCTTTATGTCTGTTTATCCTTTCTGGTCAAAGTCCGACTCATGGTCAAGAGAACTTCAATAATAATAAGAACACATTAAGTCATGAGGAGTTGAAATTACAATGCAGTCTATGATAAGCCACTACTAGTTTCTGAGCAGCACATTGACATGAGAACAAAGTGGGCCCCAGTCCATCTCCCAGGATCAGAAATTAGGATTAACAAAGCCTGTATTATATAAGAAAAATTCAAAACAGTTCACATAGCCATGGACTTAAAAGATATGCTTATTTAGATGCTAAACAGTTTTTAAATCCATCCATTGCTTTTTCCATAACATATTTCCCATGGACTTTCTAAAGACTCCACTTATGTATGGATTTCAACATTTTTTTTTTGCACTGAAATAAATTTATCTTTTAATTCCAGTTTTTCCATGAACCTTTGGAAGTCACCTATTAAGATAAGGTAGACAATAATAAACACTAGTGAGGAATCAGGATTGACAGGGAGTTTAAGAAGAGATATAGAAGTTATCCAACCTTCCGCACGCAATGATCACACTCAGTCATGACCAGCAGAACAAGCATGTAATTCAATTTCCGGTGGAAAATGCCTTCCCCTTGTCCCTCAGGAGTTCCGTCCAGTCTACCAGGAGACCAGCTGGCGAACTGAGGAGGCTTTCAGGCTTGAGAACTGATGGGCCTTGTCATTGCTTTCCTCACTCAGGTAAACACAGCTGCAATTTTCATTCATAAATCGCAACACTAATCCGTTCAAAGTCTGCCTATCAGCAGTGTGCTTCACAGCACGCCCTGCCACAGCATTTGCAGACCCAGCACTGGGAGAAGAGAGGGGCCTCTGTCCATGGTCCGCAGCCCTGGACTGGCCACCAGCAATCCTTGCTGTTCCTGCTGAAAATCCTTACACTGCGTTTCGATTCCCTGGGAGACTCGTCACTCATCTACACCTTCATTTCGCTGCCAGACAACCTTACTCCCAGAGTCTTGAACGAACAGTAAAATTATGATAAAATCATTGTTTTATATTCCCAGTCTGTACCTATATAACATTTACATATACCCTATTGCTAAAGACAGTAGCTAAATAATTAGTGAACCTTAACAAAGATAAGAAATAAATCTGTGTTTGAAGAATAAACATCAGAATTGTTAAAGGTCAGTATGTATCAGTCACAAATAATTTTCTAGTGCTTATTCTAGAGATTAAAAAATTTATACTCCGGGGTTCTAGTCCCGGTTGCGGTGCCGGGTACTAGTCCCGGTTGCTCCTCTTCCAGTCCACCTCTCTGCTGTGGCCCGGGAGGGCAGTGGAGGATGGCCCAAGTGCTGAGGTCCCTGCACCCACATGGGAGACCTGGAGGAAGCACCTGGCTCCTGGCTTCGGATAGGCGCGGTGTGCCGGCCACGGCGGCCATTTGGGGAGTGAACCAACAGAAGGAAGACCTTTCTCTCTGTCTCTCTCTCTCTCTGTCTCTCTCTCACTGTCTAACTCTGCCTGTCCAAAAAAAAAAAAAAATTACACTAATGAAAATCCATTAGCACATGATATATTTAAATAATCTTCTACAAGAGGTATTTTATATGCTTTTATTATTTTTCTATTACATGATTATTTTTAACTTCAAATTACAAATGCATTTATGAAAGTATATTTTTTGCTTTTTTGTTTGTTTAAAATAAGAAGTGCATAACACTACTGGTTTCTATTCTACATACTTCTACTAGTAACATAGCCTAGTGAGGTTTAACAATTTTACAGAATGTGACTTATCTTAACAATACTTTCAAATGTCAGGCCTCTTTGTGTTTTAATATAACAGCAAAAATCCTGGTACCTAAACTTTGATAAAGTGAATATAACTAGAAAAATATTCTCAAGAACAAGTATCTATTTTGAGATGAAGTTCTTTTTTCTCTCAAGGTTTCCAGTTTAGAATGGAATATTCCCACATTATCATAAAGTTTTGAAAAGATATACTTTTTGTAAAGATATTAACTAATTTTTCTATGTCCATGTTTTAATACAGCTGGACAGAATAAAGTCTGTGTAAATGTGTATATAAAGTACACTAATTTATTTTTCTGTAGATTATAATTGTGAGCAAATAACAGACTGAGAGATGCTCACTTATAAGTAATAGCCCGAGAGGTAGCCATGTTCCGTGTTTGTTACTTCAAAAGCATAGCCTTCCCAGCATTATCAGGACATGGTTACTAGTGCAGGGAGAAGAGCGGCCCCTGCCTGTGGTTAGTCAGTGGTAAAAATGAGGATGATCAATGGTACTTTTGAATTTTTTTAAAAAAGCTCTTTCTTATAGTCTACTCTCCTATTTACACTCATTAGAGGAAAATGTTAGATATGAGAAGAAGCCCAAATATCCAATACTGGATATGAGGAAATATGTTACAACATAATCATGGGAACTTGGAGAATTTTCTATACAAAGAAAACTGCAAGTACGCAAAAGACGACAACAAGAGACAGCAAGGATGTGGAGAAGTGGAATCTCACACAGCGCTGGTAGAACTGCAAAACAGTGGAGCTTCTTCAAAGATAGTCTTGCAGTACCTCAAAAAGTTACACACAGAGTCACTCAGTAATGGCAACCACAGGTCTATACCCCAAGGAAGGTAAAACACAAATGTACACAAAAACTTGCATTGGAATGTTCACAGCTATGTTACTCATGGTGGCCAAAAGTAGAAGCCTCCCCACTGTCCCAATGCCCATCAGGGATGAAAGCATAAACAACGTGACGTATCCATGCAACGAATCCAGTAATAAAAGGGAACAAAGAACTAACAGGTGTGACCACACTGATAAAATCTGGAAACGTTGCACTAAGAAAAGCCAGGCACAAGAGAGACCACATGTTTTGTGACTCCATTTGTATCAAATATCCAGGATCGGCAAATCCATAGGGAAAGTAGATCAGTGCTGTCTGGGATCTGGGAGACACAAGAATAGAAAGTGACTGCTATGGGGTACAAGGTTTCTGTTCATGGCAATGAACGTTTTCTGGAATTAGAACTCAGTGGTGATGTCTAATTCAATGAATATACAAGGGTACTGCAAAAATGACTTGAAGATGACATTAAAAGATAAGTTTATTTTGGGGCAAAAAGGTTTAGCTATCCATGCATAATTTTTTCTAGAATACTCATTTGCCATAAGCTTTTAAAAGACCCTCCATATTAAAATTTCTAAGTCTTACACTTTGAAATTTTGATATGTAAAGTATGTTTTCCTTAAGAAAGAATGTTTTTTAAAAAGAAAGATGAAAAATAAAATTAAATTTCTGATCTAACATTCAAGTAAAGGAAGCCTTTACTTTTCATCTTTCATGAACAAAATTTATAATAACTTCAATGACCAGTGCTTCCAAAAACAACATTTCATACTGATTTTGCAATTCTCACGCCAGAGGTGAAACTGTATTTATTTTGATAAATCAGAAAGAACAGAATAGAATCCCTGTTCTCCAAAAATTCGTATTGACCCCAATAATCAGAGTGCACCTGAGGTTACAGGCCTCCTAAAACAACAAAAGCTTAATCATAGTGATCTGTTTTATGCAATGCTTTTTCAAAAGCCAACAATCTTCTCAAAATAATGTTATCAGTTCTCATAAATGTCACTGGACAATTAGATGGTCTTGTTCAGAAAGCTTTAGGCAAACATCCAAACTAGTGGGTTTTTTAAGTGTAATAGTGAACGAAACTGAAATTGAACATACCTCAAAGCTAAAGTAGACTGATTTGTGGGTTGGAGGAGGGAGAGACGGAGGGAGGGGAAAGGGGAAAGGGCAGAGGGCAGGGCCAGGGGGTGGGGAGAGAGAGAGAGGGAGAGAGAGAGAGAAAGAAAGAAACATATTTCTCCACGTATTTTCACTCATAGAGATTAGATCATTCCTTGCAATGGCCAAGGCTGAACCAGGCAGAAGCCCAGAACCAGAAACTAAGCCTCCCTCGTGAATGGCAGGGACCCAACTCCTTGAGCCATAACCACTGTCTCCTATGGTGCATGTTAGCAGGCAGCTGGAACCAGGAGTGGAGCTGGGATTCAAACCCAGGCACTGTGATGTGGAATGCGGTTGTCCCAAGTGGCATCTGAGCTGCTGGGCTTAGAAACGAGATATATGTGGACTGAACACCTTTGAGACCAGTGACTGAGCGTCAGCGGCAAACCCTGAGAGACCTCACTTACCCCGCCCGGAGCAAGGCAGGTCAGAGCTTCCCCGACACTTCGCGATGCTCTCCTCAGCCGACAGTGGGCAGGAACGTAGATGCTCACACTTTTTCCCATACCAGCCGGCTTTGCAGTCACATCTTCCACAATTGCACTGCCCGTGACCTACAGAATGACAGCCAAAAAGAAAGTACATATAAAGATAATGAAGTCAGAATTAATTTTCATTCCAACAGAGGCTTTCGCAAATGAGTCAGGATCTTAAAGTATAAAACAGTAAGGCAAAGGCACATTTTTTCCCAAATTCTTAATCGCTGATTTATATTAATGGATCATGATGGGTGAAGAAACTCAACAAATACAAACAAGATAAACAGGTTAGCAGAATAAATGGGGTCTATCAAAATCCAGACACATGGGATTACATGTACCTGCTGGGGGCCTGAAAGGAATATTGGATAGATTTGGCAGTTAACTCATAGGGACAAAAGTCATTGGAAATGGAGAATCTATTTCTGAAGCAAGATTCGGGTTTTTTTTTTATTATTATTATTTGTCAGGTAGAGCTACAGACAGTGAGGGAGAGACAGAGACAAGGTCTTCCTTCCGTTGGTGCACTCCCCAAATGGCTGCTACGGCCGGCACTGCACCGATTCAAAGCCAGGAGCCAGGTATTTCTTCTTGGTCTCCCATGTGGGTGCAGGGCCCAAGCACCTGGGACATCCTTCACTGCCCTCCTGGGCCACAGCAGAGAGCTGGACTGGAAGAGCAGCAATCGGGACTAGAACCGGCGGCCACATAGGATGCAGGTGCCGCAAGGTGGAGGATTAACCTAGTGAGCCATGGCACCGGCCCCAAGCAAGATTCATTTTTCTAATGAGTAATTCAGCCATCTTTTTCACTAAACTCTCACAACCATAGAAAAATTGAGGGTGAAGGACACAAGCTCACAAAAGGAGTAAAATCTAGAATTTTGGAGGGACCGATCTTTAATTTTTCAGCTTTATGGAGATATAAAGGACAAATACTATACAGATTTAAGATGTACAACTTGATTTTTGATACATTTATGTACACTGGAATAATTAACACAATAAATTAACACATTTGTCATCTCACACAATTACTTTTTTGTGTGTGGGTATATGGTGAGAATACTCAAGATCTACCCTACTCATAAATTTCAAGTATTCAGTGTACTGTTAGTAACCAAGATTATACTGAACATTAGCTCTCCTTAACTCATTCATCTTAAGATGTTGAAAATCTGTATACTTTGACCAATCCCCACCTTCCCTACCTTGAATCCCTGGTAAACAACTACCTGTGCTCTTTCTGTTCCTATGAGTTTGACATTTTAAGATTCCACATGTGAATGAGTAAAATCATGCAGTATTTGATGTTCTGTGTCTGGCTTGTTTCACTTAGCACAGTGTCCACCATTGTGCATCTACACCATGTTTTCTTTACACATTCATCTGTTGACACTCAGGTTGTCTATGTAAATTCACTGTTAAAAATGCTGTGATATACTTGCTATTGTACAAAATGCTGCAATGAGAGAGCAGATAGCTATTTGAGATACCGCTTTTATTTCCTTTGGCTATACACCTAGAAATTTTTAGATCATATGGTAGTTCTATTTTTAATTTTTCAGGGAGGAACTTCTATAACAGTCTCTATAAAAGCTATGCAAATTTACATTCCCATGAACACCATTTAAAAATTTAATTCACATCCTGTCCAACACTTACTTTTGACCTTTTGAGAGTAGCCATTCCAACAGGCATGAGGTGACATTTCATTATTTGTATTCCTCTGACAATTAGTAATGTTGAGCACTCATTCATATATCCATTGGTAATTTGCATACCATCTTTAGAAAAATGTCTATTCAGTTCCTATTATTAAGTTCTGTGAGTCCCTCCTATATTTTAGATGTTAACACCTTATAGGATATATGAATTATAAATATTTTCTCCTTTAGGTGTTTTTTTCATTTTGTTGATTGTTTCCTTTGCTGTTGCAGACACTTCTAGTTGTATGTAGTCCCACTTTATTATCTTTTTTTAACCGTGCCTCCAACTGTCATATCCAAATCTCAATGCCAAAACCAAGGTCCTAAAGATTTTCTCCTGTTTAATTCTCTGAATTTCATAGTTTCAGGCCTTATACTTAAGTTTTAATACAGTTTGAGTTAAATTTTATATATGCTATTAGATAAAAATTCAGTTTAATTGTTTGACATGTGGGTGTCTATTTGCACTAATATAATTCTTTCAAGAGACTAGAATTTCCATGTATTTCTTCTTGGTGTCGTTTTTGAAGATTAGATGACCATAAATGGGTAGGTTTATTTCTGAGCCTTCTATTCCATTCCATTGGTCTCTGAATCTGGTTTTATGCCAGTACCATATAGATTTTTAATAATTTTAAAAAATATTTTATTTATTTATTTAATGGAGAGTTACAGATAGAGGGAGAGGCCGAGAGAAGAGTCTTCCATCTGCTGGTTGACCCTCCAAAAGTCCACAATGGCCAGAGCTGGGCTGATCCAAAGCCAGAAACTTCCTCCAGTCTCCCACATGGGTGCAGGAGCCCAAGCACCTGGGCCATCTTCCACTGCTGTCCCAGGCCATAAGTAGAGGGATGAATTGGCAGAGGGGCAGCCGAGACACAAACTGGCACTGATAAGGGATGCCAGCATCAGAGGCAGAGGCTTAGCCTGCTACATCACAGCACCAGCCCCTACCAAATAGTTTTGATTACTATGGCTTTGTAATACAGTTGGAAAAATCTTGTGGTCACTTGAAAATTTTAAGATTTTTTTTTCCAGTGAAAAGTGCAATGAGATTTTTGATAGAGATTTCACTGAATCTATATATCACTTAGGATACTAGAGACATTTTAATAATATTTATTTTTATGATATATGACAATGGGATATCTTCATATTTGTGTCTTCAGTTTCTTTCATCTTCTATAATTTTCAACATTCATATCATTCAGCTCAGTATTATTCCTAAGCATTTTACTTTTTACTCTATTGCAAATAAGATTGTTTAACTTCTATTTTGGATAGTTCATTGAAACAGGATCTTGTCTTCAGTACTCTGTACTTTATACACATTTGCTCTTTGCTAAGCACCGCATAGTTAGTGTAAAGCACTTAGCCTAAAACAGTAACCTATATGGAGTTACAATCCTTTAAGATCAACTTCCTATATATAAAAAAGTTCAGGAAAGATAAAATTCCCTGACGGGGGAAGATAAAGAACTGTCATGAATGGTGGCAGAATTTTTACTATAATGGTTTACACTTATTTATTAGTAGTAGTTACATCTCATAGGCTGTTGGATTCTGTGGCTTTTTGGCATTTGCCTCAGTTTGAAAAATTCCGATCCTTCTTCTCAACCCTCATGTAAGTTAGGACAAACTTTGAAAACAGAGCTGAACTGCAAACACATATATAAATAGCAGTTCTTAAAAACATATAACACTTTGGCCGGCGCTGCAGCTCACTAGGCTAATCCTCCGCCTGTGGCGCCAGCACTCCAGGTTCTAGTCCTGGTCAGGGCACCGGTTCTGTCCTGGTTCTCCTCTTCCAGTCCAGCTCACTGCTGTGGCCTGGGAAGGCAGTGGAGGATAGCCCAAGTCCTTGGGCCCTGCACCTGCATGGGAGACCAGGAGGAAGCACCTGGCTCTGGGCTTTGGATCTGCACAGCGCGCTGGCCATAGCAGCCATTTAGAGGGTGAACCAATGGAAGGAAGATCTTTCTCTCTGTCTCTCTCTCTCTGTCTAACTCTGCCTGTCAAAAAAAATGTATATATATATATATATATATGTGTGTGTGTGTGTGTGTGTGTATATATATATATATAAAACACTTAAAGTGCAAACAGTTCTGTTATTTTATGGGAGCCACTGGTTTTGAAATCCTTGGAGAATTTCATTTCAGGAACATCTAGATCTTCCACGAAAATGTTGAACAAAGCACAGCACCCGGTCCCATGTGTGGAAAACTAGCAGGCACGTTAGCAATAAGACTGAGAACAGTTAGATTCAAGTAGGACTGGGAGTTTTTTTGTTCTCAGAAGTTCAAAATGGCTGAGGAAGTTAGAACCAAAGACCCAGCAACTAAGGATGCCAGGACATCTCTAACTCCATGAGAGGATGCTTGCTACCTGCCACTGTGAATTCACAGGCAGCAACACACAGCAGTATTTCCAGCCATGGGCAGGTAGAATGACCAAAAGCCAGGGGGCAGGGGAGGGGCCAGCGACTGAGGTCTCAGGTTGTGCAGATGGAGCACATGTTTAAGAGCAACCGTTTTCCATCTGAAGTGCACTCACGTCAGTATTTTTTTAAAAAAAGTGTTGGAATCCAATGAATCCAAAAGTCTGAAGTCATTAAAAAAAGAGATATTTCAGTTCACAATTGATCACACTGATAGGTCTAACAGTCAAAGGGATCACACAAACAAGACTAGTGTCTGCAAATACTACTGATAGAATAGAAAAGGGAGAGAACGATCCAACATGTGAAGTGGGATACACAGCAGACCTGTAGAATAGCAAATGTCCTGAACAGCACTCTGGCCTCAGAATCAGCACTTAAGGCACTCAGCTCTGGCTGAAGGGCCCATGAGAGTATTTTAGGCATGGAAAGCCAAGACACGCTGGCAAGAAAAAAAAAAAAAAAAACTAAATGAAAGATCTCTGCGAGTGAGAGAGTGAGATCCCGGTGGAAAAAACGGGGCCATCAAAGAAGGAGGTACCTTTCTCCGAAGGGAGGAGAGAACTCCCACTTTGACTATGACCCTGTCTGAATAAGATCGAAGTCGGCGAACTCAAAAGGCTTCCATAGCCTTGGCAACTCATGACTAGAGCCTAGGGAGATTACTGACGCCATAAACAAGAGTGTCAAATTGTTAAGTCAACAATAGGAGTCACTGTGTACTTACTCCTCATGTGGGATCTGTCCTTAATGTGTTGTCCAATGTGAAGTAATGCTATAACTAGTACCGAAAACGTATTTACACTTTGTGTTTCTGTGTGGGTGCAAACTGATGAAATCTTTACTTAATATATACTGAATTGATCTTCTGTATATAAAGATAATTGAAAAAGAATCTTGATGTGAATGGAATGGGAGAGGGAGTGG